TTTTTTTCATATATTTCATGTAGCTCTTATAGAAATACAGATCCTCCACTAATCCTTAACCCGTTGAGTATACTTTCTTATCAGAATTTTTTCTCATTTCAATAAAAGAATCCGAACAAAAATTTCCTTGATTAATCAATTCAGTCTTTATCATGAGAATAGACTCATAGAGCAGTAGCATACCCCAATTTCATTTCCGGAGTCGAGTCATAATTTCTCAGATGAATAATTCACACATAGCTCGTGAGATATTTTACAGCGTTTAGACAGATGTTATTGGTATTCTTTTTTGTACAAGTATAGCCTTAACGGATATAAACTTTGGTTTACTCGTTACAGATAGGGACTCATCCCTGGAGTTCCGGCTCAGAGAGGTACGAATGCAGTCTAGGGGCATGTACTGATCAGACATATTTTAACATTCGACCAGCTGGTCTATCTTGTAAAATTTTGACTCAAACCATATCTCTGATACCACTAAATGTAACCCCCTCAGACTGATGCGGGTAACCCGATTCGATCTGGAGTGTCACATTAGGGCCATCGGAGTGACCTATTGTAAAAATAGCGGAAATTTTAAAACCTTTATTAAAACATATAAACTCATGAAATCATTTGTCACTATTTAAAAATAAAACAGATTTTCAGACTCGTATATAAAACAAAATACAATTACATGTACCATACTCTGCAAATAACGCTGGAAGAACTCCTTTACTGATGTTGATAGATGCACTGGTTCAATCCTTTTAACCTGCAATGGTGAGTAATAGAGTGAGCTTCAGAAAGCTCAGTAATACAGAACTACCAGATGATGCTGAAGAATGTGCAGATACAGATAAACATATATTTTCATATTGGTTCAGATATCTATAGATTTTTTTAGGTTGAGCTGAGGTCCCATTGATATTTCAGGTAATAACAAATAATATTCAGTTCAGATGGAAATATTTCAAATATCTAGGTTCAGGAGATCAGAATATGTTATCTAGTGTATTCCCAAAAATCATGTAACTTTTCAGATCTTTTCAATATATATATATATATATATATATATATTTACCCCCATCCGTTAAGTCCAAAATGTGTAGGTTCCCCATAACCATACACCCACCGTCAAGTCCAGTAAGGCCTTGAGCACACAGCCGAGGAGCCTCCAGGTATTCTTCCTCCAACATTACCCCTAAATAAACATGTTCCGTCCGTAAACGGATATATCAAAAATCAAATCATAATTCATGTTAAGTATCATGCCAAAATCCAGGTCAAGTATCAGATCAGAATCCAAGTCAAGTATCAGATCAGAATCCATGTCAGATATCAGATCAGAATCCATGTCAAGTATCAGATCAGAAATCAAATCGAAAATCAGGTAAAATATTCATGTGAGTAGGGAACACACAAAAATTTACAGATAGAATTCAAAGATATTGGATAATCATAATAAGTAGAGGAACACGGATCTTTAGTATACCGATAGAATATCGGAATTCAGAATCACTATTGGAAGAGTTCAATAACTGACAGAATCATTAGTTATTCAGAATGTGACTTGAGCTGATAAGGAAGAAATGAAGGTTCAGGACATTTACATTCTATATCGATTGATCGGATTATCGGACAACTCTTAGATGAACAGTTCCCAGAACTAATGCTTGTCGATTGGTCAATTCATTATTCTTCCAGGGTATTTACTCTTTAATACCACAAATTCTTGTCCAAATATCATTTTTTTGAAATCATCGTTGAATAGATCTTCCAATATCTTTATTTCATTTCCACGCTTCCACAATATCATGTAATGTTGGCGTATTTGATTATTTTGTTACCCATTGTAATTGTACACTATATAAACTCATCAGAGTTTTCAGACTTATCCAAATCACTTACTAAATCCTCAGTCATTGAGGTTACCTAGTTCATTTAGCAATCATGTCCTTTCCAGTTACTTCAGGATTTTCCAGAGTAATTCAAACGTTCCTGAATTTTAGATACATGTTGTACTTCCGTTCCATTCAATTTGGTCTTCGTGGTTGATTTGTCGAACAAACGTCCAATTCTTAGTACTGAATGCGATCTAGAGTTGAGCTGAGCTGGTTACTTCCAAAATTTATCATCGAGCCAAACTTGAGAAGACGAGCACGCATTCAAGTAATATCTATGCCATCCAGGTATTGCCATAGCTTTAGGGTTGATCTACTCACTTAAATTGTGTTCTATTACTTTTAATGGTAGTCCAACACCTATGCTTATTTGGATTCCTTAATTAATCCAAGACATTTACTTAGTTTAGGTTATAAGGTTATTTTGGTAATTTTGGTGTTCAGTTTTATTCCATTCATTTAAGAGCTCGAGGATATCCAATCATTCCTGAGCTTGGTGATAATCTTGGGTCATTTCCATTATAGGGGTATTTTGGTCATTCTATAGATTCAGTGTATTTTAATCATTTTCTTTCATCCGATCTTACTATTAAATTCAATCTTATAATTTATTTCAGTTCTTTCGAACAATTCTGACAGCAAAATACCCCCGATAAATTATTCTTCAGGTATTTACTCATTACTCGAATATTTTCGGGTTAAGTGCCTTCTCAGATTTTACAAACGGAATATCATGAATTTTTCTGCACTAAGTCAGAATCTTAACAAACAATTTCGTACTTAATCAAGTTAAGTATAAATCTTCAAAGTATTTTCTCATTCAGGGTCAACTCGGACTATTTTACCTCTCAAGGGTATTTCCGTAATTTCTTAACCAGATAATTTCGATATTAACTCTTAACGAAAATAATATAATTTAGATATCCTATGATTAATTGCTTTCTTGAACACTCTCTGATCTTGAAATGATTCTCTTATCAGACTTCTAGTATCCTTCACAAACCCTCATAGGATTAAAAACCGGTTATCCATAATTTCCAAGTAAACTAACATTTCTTATGCACATAATATTTATATCGGATCAATATGTCTTTTCAGAGTTATTAACCAACTTCTAGGGACAATTCTTGTCATCCTACAATATAAGGGTATTTTTGTAATTTTACCCTATCGGAATATTCTCATAATTTCTCATCCAAGTACCTTTAACATTTAACCTTTGATGATATAAAATATAAGTTACAAATCCATGGCTGATTTCTTTATCACTAATCACAAACTTGTAATTTAATTCTAACAATTCCTAAATCTCTTATATTAGTCATTCGATCCGTATTCAATTACAGAATTTCTACCATATTCATATCGAGTGTATAAATTATTCAACTTCACAAAAGTGACCAACATTATCTTATTCATGCATTTACCAATATCAACATATTTCATAAAGCATAAAGAGGTAGTAAAGTATTAACTCGATTTTTGTGCAATATTAATCGACCATTAAATTCCATTCAAACGCCCTCGATCTTGAAATCCTCTTCCAATATTTCCTCGGATCCATATCAACATAAATTACATAAAAAACGGAGCTTAATTATGAAAAACGGATCGAATCTGATGATAAATCAGTGAAAAACAGCTTACTGAGTTCGAATTTGGCGAAACAAACTTCGGATTCGGATTCAGGACATCGAAAACATAAAATATGACTTTTCGAAAATTTAGAATTTTTGGTCAAAATCAAAGTCAACGGGTTTGACTGGCAATTTCGAGGCCTTCGGGTCCGAATTTCAAAAACAGACTACGGAATCGGATTTGGAACGTCGAAAAACATCAGGATGGGTATGCTCGGTCGAAGTCAAAGATCGTTTAATGCTCGGTCAACGCCGATCAAGGTTTTGGTCAACTATGGTCAACGCCGGTCAACGATCAACACATGAACAATCAACATTCGACCATTTTATACAAATATCACCCTAATAGAAATTAATTTCCAAATTAGCCACATTCTGCAAAAATTTACTAAACTAACACCCGAATTTTACACAAATAGTACCTAAACATAAATTAATTACAAAACTATCACCCAGACGATGCCCACTCTCGAGGGTGGCACGTGTGGCGCGTGAACAGTGATACGGTGTCGGATATTCCCGGAAAAATTCCTAAAAATTATTTTAAGCGATTTTGAGGCACTTACAAAGCTCGGTTCACAATTTTGAACGACGGAGAGCTCGATTCCGAAACGTCAGAAACTTTGACGGTCTCATACCTCCACGAGCCGGCGACGACGGAGAAACGGAGAACACCGGTGGACTCGGAACGATGCAAGGAACACGATGGTGGGGGGTGTCATAAACGAATGACCGGATCGTCGTGAATCGACGAAAAACCAACTGAAATCGAGTTATTACCGACGATACTTCCTACTGAAATTAACGACGAACTGAGACGATTCACGACGAAAGGTTTGAAGGGTTTTATTCCTCGGTCAACAACGAACACGATGGTGGTTTCGATTCGTCGATCGGAGGTCGGACTGTGAGTAGATCGGAATTGAAAAGAGGGTTGAGGGGAAGAAAAAAACTTGAAATAATCTGGAACTGAGCAAGGCAAATGGGTTTATAATTCATACCATATAAAAAATGGTTAAATCATAGGTTTAGCCACTGAATTTCCTACACTTTATAAAATCATCTGTCAACTTTGAAATTTTACAATTTAATCCACTGTTTCTTTCGAAATACCAATTAAATCCAATATTTTATAATTTCAATAATTTAGCCCCTAAATTGGGGTGTTACAAGTAATGCCATCATGAGGTTGGGGTTGAGAAGCAATAAGGTCTGTCGGGTAGAGTATTTGTTGCATTCAATGTTCACGAGGAAGAAAAAGGAAGTAGCACTTATGATTTAATAAACAAAGAAATCTAAGTTCCAGAAAGTCTCATCTGTACAAATTTATATGTTCCAAGGGTATTTTTTGTCCTTGTGGTGCATGTGAATGTTTGAGGTATTCTATTTTGATCTTTTAAAATGCTAATGGCCCCTTGATTTGTTTTTTCCTTGCAGGATTGGAAGTGTATCATTTCCATGCTATTGGATGAGAACCCATTAATAGAGCTAACCGATGCAGATGCAACAAACCTGACTAGTCTTCTTTTTGCTTCTGTCAGAAAGGCTGTTGGAGAGAGGATTGTGCCTGCTTCTGATAATCGGAAGCAATATTTCAATAAAGTCCAGAAAGTAACTAATTTCTTATTCTGATTCCTCATCTCATATAAGGATTTGTTTACAATTTTATGTTTTATTTTGCATTACTAGTTGGTGATTTCTCTGCTCAGAAAGAAGACTAAAGCTCAATTTGTCCTTTTCTTAAATGTCAGGAAATGTTTGAAAACAATAGGCGGGATTTAACTGTTGCCATGATGTAGAACTACCCATTACTTCTTCGTAAATTCATGGCTGACAAGGCTAAAATTTCATCATTGGTCGAGATTATTTTATATATGAACCTGGAGTTTTATTCTCTGAAGAGACAGGAGCAGGTAGGTAATAAAGTTGCTTGTTATTGTGTAATAATTAAGCACCAAGTGATGTGTTTTCCCTTTCAGAATTTCAGAAATACTCTTCTTCTCATCAAAGATGCATTTTTCAAGCACGGTAGAAGGATGCATTGAGATCTTGTGTGAAGGCTATTGTATTATGTTCCACTGAGAGTCAAGGAGAGCTGCAAGATTTTTCTCGTAACAAACTAAAGGAGCTTGAGGATGAGCTTCTTGATAAGCTTAAATCTGCAACTAAAGAAGTGATTGTATGTTTCCTTCTGATCCTTTTGTTCTTGATTGTGACATTAATCACCAAATATATAAGGTTGACAAGTTTTAAATTTACAGGATGGGGAGGATGAGTATTCTCTTCTCGTGAATTTAAAAAGGTTGTACGAGCTTCAATTGTTAAGGCCTGTATCAATTGAGGAATTTTATGGAGATTGTATTACAATCTTGCACAGCTTCAGAAACTTGGACAATGAAGTAAGTTAGATGAGCAAATTTTAAAAATTGTTTTGCATTTTTTGTATCCCTAGCATTTGTTCCTAATGACTGCTCTCTCGTTTAGGTTGTTAGTTTTCTGCTGCTGAATATGTCAATCGATGTAGCCTGGTCTTTTCACTCTATAGTAAACAGTGAAACTGTTGTCTCTGAAGGAGCCTTATTCTCTCTCCTGTCTAGACGTGGTACCTTGTTGGGGGAACTTGAGTATTTTCTTAATACTCCTCCTGAAATCAGGGAAGGGAGCAATTCAGGAAATCAGCAAGCCTGCTGGGTAATCCTTTTGCTTGATATATGAATTTGATTAATCCCTAAGACTGTCTTATCTAATGAAGTTTATGCAATGACCCAGGTTTGTATTATACTAGCAGATATCTGGTTTCTGTTTAGGAAGACAGTTTTTTGGTCAACAAAGCTTGAAAGATTAGGATATTGTGCTGATGCTCCTATTCTTCAGAAGTTTTGGACCCTTTGTGAGAAGCTGCTCAAAATTTCTGGTGGCAATTTCTTTCATTTCCTCTTCTGAGCTCAATCTTTGAAATACTTAACTTGCTGCTAATGGGGCTGTTACCATCCAGGTGAAACCAATTGGAGCAAGTAACTCTTATCTTCTTTCTGCCTATCATTTGCTGCACTCTTTAGATGTTGGTTGCATACTTTGATGAGAATTCATTAAAACTTCATACTGCTGTTTATTTGCTAATTTTAGTTAAACCTTGCATGTATATATTCAGATGAGACAGAAGATGAAGATGTTAATAAAGAGTATATTGAGGAGTGAAATTAGAGACAAAGTCATGCTTGCTGCTGCAAAGTTGATTGATAGTGATACAGTCCCAAAGGTAACAGTGTGCTGCAGAATTTGATGTATTTTTCTTGCATTCAGCGCAAATTTTGTTGTTTCAAATTATTCTTATGATTTCTGAAAGTCTGCTTAAAATTTTGCTAGCAATACATATCTTTTCTTAATTTAGAGAAGTGACGATTCTTTACTGCAGGATTATCTTGCTCCTGAGATAATTTCTCATTTTGTGATGCATGGTGCTGGCATTGCAGAGATTGTGAAGAATCTGATCACAGTTCTGAAGAAAAAAGATTATAACGTCTCTGTAATCTTTCTAGAAGCTTTGAAGAGGGTAGAATTCTTTGCTTCAGATATTTTGGTGAAATTTAGTCAATGATACCGCATCTCATCTGCTAACCTACAATTTCTTTCTTTTTTGCTGACTTGGTTAATTTCAACATGTCTTTTGAAAAATATTTACTTGCATGCTAATTTTCCGCTGGGTTTTTTTGTTTATTTTCTATCACATGTTATGCATTACCTTATATGCCTAATGGCCCTATGGTTCAGCATCAAAACAGACAAGTAAAGCATAGACATGAGGCAAAAATCAAAGGCCTGCTACTTGTTGGGTGAAAACTGGAAGGGCTTTTTAGATAGGTTGTTTGATACTATATTTACATAGACAGAGTGCAAAATAATATGTGATTGAAATTTCCTAATTTGCTCTATTTTAAGATTAAGAATACGTTTGTCATGCTTATTGAAAATAATTAAAGTGGAACTAAACCAGTTAAGCTATTATTTGGAGTTTTTAGTGTTGTCCTCTTAAATCAGAGATTTATTCTTCGGAATTTGTAGGAGTGGCATGTTGATTATAGAAGGGTAGGAGCATATTCTTTGGCAATTCTAAAACTGAAATGTGATGGAAACGTTGTTATCTTTCTGCCTGTTTGTGCATCCCTTTTAATGGTTCACGTTTTCTTCTCACCAGGCTTACAATCGACACTATCCGAAAGTGATGATGAATCCTTGAAAAGTAAGACTTTCCAGGAGTATAAGAACTTGGCTTCTTGGCTTGCTGGAATATTCATCGGTGCTGCTTGGAACAAGCACAGACCTGTGATTTTAAAGATGTTAAGGAAGGCACTGAGTATGCCTTTCAAGATGCCCTGAACAGCCGTCTTTTCTGGAAGCTTCTGTACTGCATTTTGCATCAAGACTTCCTCCTCCTGACATCCGAGACATGTAAGAATTTCTCTGATCTAATGTAAACCATTCTATTTCATTCTTTAAACAGGGACCAACCATTGTGCATTACCTAATACCTAATTGTTTTATAGCCCGAAAGATATCGAGAGGAGGACAGAGAATGTAAATACAGAAGAGGATCCAAGTGGGTGGCGCCCCTATAATATATTTTATGATAGTTTACAGGAGAAGTGTGCAAAGAATGACGGTATTCAAGGTGCTAATGAGTCTCATTTCAATCATTCTGTTGCCTTTTTTTATGCGAAGTATAAATTTGCTCATAGGTGGAGCCATCTAACTTTAATACAAGGCCACAAGAAAACAATACTTCACAAACGTAGGATAACAACCACTTAACATGTGGTTCCAAGCATTGATGTTTTCTTCTAATAAAATATCAGCATTGTTGAGCATTGGGTCTTTTTCTTTGGATTTTAAGGTAAAAGCTAATTATGCTGTTGTTTTGCAGATGAGAAGGAACATACTACTGCAAGACGGAGGGGTCGTCCTAGGAAGCGGCGAAATATCGAGGGTAGGAGACTTTTTGATGATCATAATTCAAGTGAAGAAGAGGATTCAATTAATACATCCAACCAAGAAGATGCGCAGGTTGAGGAAGACGAGGAAGAGGATAATGCTCCTTTGATACATTCACTTAAGTCTGCTGCCAAGTTGAGGTCATTACGAGTCTCAAGACAGTAGAACATGACTCAGATGGGATCTTCTGTAGGAGCTACGGATAATTTAACTGCTTCAGATATGTGAGGTATGAAATGCAATTTATAGTTTCCATGCATGACTCGGGAGAAAGAGAAGAATTTAGATTGTGTGTGTTGTTTAAAACATGTTAATTCTTATCTTCAGCCAAAAGACCAATCTCCCAAGTAATGTGATCATCCCTGTATGACAATTATGTATGGTGACATAATAACTTTTGTATTCGTGTAGTAGAACTAGATTGATGGTTTCTCCTACTTTTATGTATGATGTCATGTGATTATAGTAGTTGGGTTTTTTTATGCTTCCACATGATGCAACACCTGGTCTCCCCAAATTGGTCATCCTCCCGAAGTAAAAAGATGTGCATTCGTTTAACGGCTGATTATGAAATAACTTGAAAGAAAAACATCATTGGAATATTAAAGAAAGTTGACACATTACTCCGATCAAAGCCAAGTCCATGTCAAGTTTACAAGTACTCGTCCCTGATCAATTAATTCACGTGTTTTTACGATGGCAGACACGTGCCATAGTCTAATTCTGAATACAATGAGGAGGTGATGTTTTTTACAGGCAGATTGAGTCTAATTCATGTTTTTTAACTTTTAGAAAATAAATGAAAAAAAATCTAAATTCAAAACACTAATTTTATTTTTTATTAGATTTTAAATTTCTTAACATCTTTAGGGTTTTTTATTTTTAAATAATTTTTGTTTTTTTAAGATTTTATCATACATGACATTTAATGATCAGGTTAATTTTTTAACAAGTAAAATGATAGATAAAGCGATAATATATAAATATCAAACTGATAATTTAATTATAAATTGAGAACCAAAATAATAATTAAGTCAAATATAATCAATGCATTATACATACAAAAAATGATTATTACCACCTATATTGGCAGTATAAAAAATCATTTTATAAACGGGTTGTTATGTCAACACGCATTTTTATTTTTTAAAACAATATTTTTAATATAATAGTTTTAGAATTTTTTTCATATATAATTAAAAGCACATGGCAAGATGACAATATTTTTATACGATCAATATATGAAATAATGATTTATTAAAATAACTTAAATTATTTTTCCAAAACAAAACACGAGAGTAGTATACTCTATATATATTGATTAAATTATATTATATATATCAACAAGCCGCATAGGTCTTAAATTTTCAGAACTCTCCAGCATTCTTGTAAGAAGGTAGTCACTTACGTTCAAATTTAATTTCTAAAAAAAACAGAAGAAAAGAAAGAAAAACATCGTACCACGGTTCTTTCCCACGCAAACAACCATTTATTAGATTGAATTCCTCGAAAAAAATAGGACAAAAAGGAGGGTCCCCAGCAAGAAATGAGGGCCCACCATTGAGCTCCCATATCTGGATTATGGATTCTTCCGTCAATGCAATTGCGAAGGATGTCAGGATTGAAGGTGTGATATTTGTTGCGAGGGATGGGGTCCAAACCGTGGCTATCCCCGGCTCCAGCTTATCTGACGTTGGAGACTTGTTGGGACACCGATGAGGATGCGCCTGGTCCCAGATGTGGTCACACCCTTACCGCCGTCGCTGCCACTAAGATCCAGGGTCCTAGGCCTATTCTCTTCGGTGGTGCTACCGCCATTGAGGGCGGCGCTTCCTCTGCTTCTCCCGGAATCAGTTAGCATCTCTCTCTGGGAACCTTTTATAAGTTTTTTTGTTCAATACATTATTTCTTTCTTTGTTTTATTTAAAAAAATGGGTGTTTAGGATTGGCTGGTGTTACCAATTCAGTGCATTCTTACGATGTTCTTACCAGAAAGTGGACAAAGTGATTTCCTTGATTCTTTTCCTTCTCTTTTTTTAGCTTTTTAACTCGAGTTTGATATTTTAGATGATATTTTCAATGGTTTTAATTGAATTATGCAGAATAAGACCAGCTGGCGATCCGCCTTCGCCTAGGGCTGCACATGCGGCAGCTGTTGTTGGCACCATGGTCGTGTTTCAGGTGTGTACAATGCAGAGTGAGCTCTAAAGAATACTGCTTCTGTATATTCCTTTATTTGTTTATGTTGTGTAGGGTGGGATAGGTCCAGCTGGGCATTTTACTGATGATCTTTATGTGCTTGATCTGACTCATAATAAGTTTAAGTGGCATAGGTGAGTTCAAGTTCTGCGAGTTTTGTCTATTTCTCACTGTAATTTGTTGTTGTTTCATGATAATATGTTTCTTTTTTCTTTTTTTATTTCCCTTTGATGGTTTTCTTTGTTTAGAGTGGTTGTGCAAGGGCAGGGTCCCGGACCACGCTATGGTCATGTTCTGGGTTTTCCAGAGATATCTTGTCACTGTAAGTGGAAATGATGGTATGAACATTTCATTTTCCAGCTTTATCCCATCTACCTTGCTGCGTATTTCATTTTTGTGGAAGAGACTAGAGTGCATTGTACTTGGAAAATTAGGTACGAATAAACAGAAACAGAAGGTGAGGCAGCTATTGCAGGTACGCTTTTTCTTGTCATCTTGAAGTATCTGACCATATTTTGAGTTGTATTTCTATTTAATTTATATTCACTCTACTTTGTAGTGCTGGATACTGCTGCTGGTGAGTGGTTGGACAGGAATGGGCTTGTGACTAATTCACGGAACACTAAGGAACAATCTGAACATGATACTTCCTTGGAACTTATGCGTCGTTGTCGCCATGCAGCTGCATCTATTGGTGTTCGAATATACATTCATGGTGGTCTTAGAGGAGGTAAAGATAGTAAAATTTATCCGAACAGTAGTGTGTACATGGGATTTTCTCAGAAAACTGGTTTCGTTTGTGCAAGGGCAGGGTCCCGGACCACGCTATGGTCATGTTCTGGGTTTCCCAGAGATATCTTGTCACTGTAAGCGGAAATGATGGTATGAACATTTCATTTTCCAGCTTTATCCCATCTACCTTGCTGCGTATTTCATTTTTGTGGAAGAGACTAGAGTGCATTGTACTTGGAAAATTAGGTACGAATAAACAGAAACAGAAGGTGAGGCAGCTATTGCAGGTACGCTTTTTCTTGTCATCTTGAAGTATCTGACCATATTTTGAGTTGTATTTCTATTTAATTTATATTCACTCTACTTTGTAGTGCTGGATACTGCTGCTGGTGAGTGGTTGGACAGGAATGGGCTTGTGACTAATTCACGGAACACTAAGGAACAATCTGAACATGATACTTCCTTGGAACTTATGCGTCGTTGTCGCCATGCAGCTGCATCTATTGGTGTTCGAATATACATTCATGGTGGTCTTAGAGGAGGTAAAGATAGTCAAATTTATCCGAACAGTAGTGTGTACATGGGATTTTCTCAGAAAACTGGTTTCGTTTTGGCTAATTAAGGTTCTAGTAAAAGACCCATTAAGGTTTAATTTTGGACGTCTGACTGCAATTATGAATGCAGTTGTAGTTAGCAAAAGTAGAAGAAATACATATGAAGAAGGCATCATATATAGGCTTTTTTCCTCTGGTTGCTAATTTCTGGATTGCCATACAAAAAAGAACCTCAGAGGCTACTAATATTTGTTGCTTTTGATTGGAATATATTACCTTAACATGTATGAATACTAAGAATCACTTCGTAAGTGAGTGTTATCGTTGTGAATTTAATTATTTTTTCGTGCCCTTTGTTTTCATCAGGTTGTTGCAATAATCGGGTTTGAAAATTTACGTTTTTGCTTGAAATCCTTAATAATAGTTTCCTTGTGTTTTCTCAGTTCCATTACTAGGACAATTAGCTTTTGTTGGTTTGCTGCAGTGGGAACTGCTATGGGCAGTATGGGAAACGGAACACAGGAAGACATTGGTCTGTCTTCTTTTGGCTCATGGGTATTGAGAACTTCATTGTAGATTGATTCTTGGACCAAGGAAATGTATGCTTCTCTGCATACTTAAAAGAAATATTTGTATCTGAAATTATGCACACATTTGTCTCACACCTATATGACATCTCAACTCTTTTTAGTGAATGACAATGCCCTACCTTGCTTTTGATTTCATTAGCAGACTGACAGTTATAAAATTGAATTTTTTTATCCAATCTTATGTGTTCACTTTCGTTTTCCTTCTTTTTTTTTTTTTTTGCGGAAGGGGTTGTGGAGTGATTTACTCTATTAATTTATGTTTTTTGGAAGATTATGTAATTAACTTTTTAGTTTTCTGCAGATGTGCTGTTAGATGATTTCCTAGTTGCTGAAAATTCACCATTCCAGCCCGACATTAATCCTATGTTAACCCCCGACAGACCCTTAAGCTTTTCCAACCCCAAATTCAACAAACCTAATTTAAGTTCATTTGAAACAACTTCAGATGATGTTCCAGATTTCCCTTCAGCTGGGGGCATGATGTATGATTTATATATCTTTCAGTCTCTCATGTATGTGCGCATGCTAATATAGACACTTTCTCTTATAGTATGGACGAATATTCGATGGAGAAGTTGAAGGAGGCTTCTGCTGCTGAAGCTGAGGTAGCAAATGCTTTCTGGCGAGCTGCACAGATTGCATCTAGTGTTCCTGCAGAGGAAACGTCTCTATCTGATGAAAACTCACCTTCTGCTGAAACAGATAGTGAAAATGAAGCTGATGTTCGCCTTCATTTTAGAGCTGTATGTATATTGCAAGTCATATGTCTTGAAAGGTTCTCTAGTTGTCCAACCACAGTATTCTAATGGTTTTCTTCCGCAGGTTGTGGTTGCTAAAGAGGTTGTTGGGAACCTGGGTGGGATGATTCGACAGCTATCTTTGGATCAGTTTGAAAACGGATAATTCCTAATGATCTTTCCTATTCTGGGAGAAAGTTCTTTAGACAGAAATCTCCTCAAGGCTTGCATAAAAGGTAAGTACATCCGAATTTGTTTTCTTTTCATTTTAGCTTTCTTAAACGTAGATTAATTTTGTATTTCTCTTGCAGGTTATATATACACTGCTTAGGCCTCGTAATTGGAGAGCTCCAGCTAATAGGAGGTTCTTCTTGGATTCTTATGAAGTGGGTGAGCTTTGTTATGCTGCAGAACAGATTTTTATGCAAGAACCCTCAGTTCTTCGGTTGAAAGCTCCTATAAAGGTCTTTGGCGACCTTCACGGACAAAGACCAATAGAAAGATCTGCATGCATGGTGGAGCTCTCCAGCTAATA